GGTATTTAAAAAAAACAGGTCATTTCAAAAACCAATCCAATAAAAACATTTAAATGAACGTTGCTAGTTATTGATGTCAGCCTATGCACACAGGAACATGTAACAGCAGGCATTTATTGCTTTCATTTGCATTCCAGGGCGTCTTTAATGTACAATTTTCAGGCAAGGGAGACATCCCTGGGTGGCCAATGCTGCATAACAGTGTCACAGCAAAAGCTACAGTCAAACTCAGATGCCATATCTTACAAACCAGACTTTCTTGGTGAGAATATTTCACCTTTTAACTCTCTTCCTTCATGCCCTACAGGAACCTGATGACTTTTCAAGACCTTGGGATTAGCATGGAAGGTCCTGACTCAGATCTGTATTTCAGAGACATTTCCTACTGAGCCCATATTTCTCTCCACTCTTCACCAATACATAATGTTTTGCCTCTTACTTTCCTCACTAATAGAAATTGTACTCTCTTAACAAAGTTTCAGAAGATCCTCTAGACTTTTAATTCACTGTATTTCCAATCCACACGTCTTCAAATATTAGTTTTCTTAATTTCTCAAAGTGAATGTTTCCATATGTGAGTACACTTCTATTGTGCCATTACTAACAGTCTTTCTATATTACAGTGAATGTAATCAGGTGATCTGAGGTTGTTCCTTATCTCCCCACTCTGATAATCTCCTTACCAATCTGTATCAAATCTCCAAATATCTTAGTGTTATCCAGGGCAAAAGGTTTGATCCTTAATGTTGAAACCAAACACCCTCACCTCTCCATTTCCTTACAATTAATCCTAGGTCCAACTCCATCTGCTGTCGATTGCAACTTGCCTTTAACCATATACTGAAACTCTGTTCACCCAGATATATGATATCTAGTCATGCATCACAAACAGATGCTTCAGTAAAAAAGGTAGCAGTAACACACTGCACTTCTGCAGAGTTACTTTAATGTACTATTGACCCTTTGTAGGTTCTTTGGTATAAGACTGTCTCTCTACTAGAATATGCATATATATATGTTAAAGAAGTTTTTGCAACAATAGCATGGATTCACACAGAGATGCCCAGAGAATAAATACCAATATCAGCTTTCACATGAAGAGGGCAATGCTTCTGGTTGCTACTACCTTACCGGAGCTGACAATAGGTCGTTGCTTTTCAGAGCAAAAGTGAGTTGCAAACAATGGCAATTCTTTCCAGCAACTGAACTGGACAACCCTCTTCCAGGAATCCAGGCCAGAAATTCTCATTTGAAATGGCGCAGAGAGATCAAGATTTTCTAAGACAGTCTACAAAGAGAGGAAACATTAGCTACAAAACGATTTAAAATTTCATACAACCTTTTTAGCAATGCTACTCACTATGCGGTGTTCACTGATACAATAGTAGACCAAGCTTTCTGCCGGAATAAATGTATATATTTCCTTTGACTTGTAAGAAGTTTTACCTGTTTGCAGCAGAGGATGCAGTACTTTGTGTATAGTGCATGCAACGGGGTACATGAAATGGAACGTAGAGGAGAAAGGGCATAGGGTTTTATCATTCATTTTGGAACAATTATGTTACTCAGGAGCGTCAGACCACTTGGGAGATCTTCCTAAATTCTTACCAATTATAGCCCTTATTCTCTATTTGTCATTCTTTAGAAGTTTTCAAAACATATTTTTGCCAAAGCACTTCATAGCTTCACTGTTCTAGGGTTTGCATCTGGACTTCTGCTGTTAAGAACTCACAAAAGTCATGAAATGCCTTAAAAGTTAAATTAGTTCTTTCATGCTAAAAATTATTATGGTTTCAAGTCTATGATCTCTATCTTTTAGGGAACTGAAAGTGTTAAATCAAACTGAAAAAAATGTCCCTTTCCTGTGGGAGAGAATGCAATAATATTCTGGACTTCAACAATTACCCTAGACATAAAAATGTTTATATTTAATGGCCCTTAGGACAATCTTGTCCCCTTTATAGGACCCACAAAGGAACAATTTGTATCTGTGAGGAGAATTTCACATGAAATAAGAAAACATTTATCTTGCACATTGTATTTTTAATGGCAGCACTTTGCTCAGTGGCATGGACCACTGGAAAAACCACAGGAAGCAGAGATCAGGTGGAGCGACCAAAGGTGCAAAACAAACTAATTTATTACATGGCTGTATGGTTTATGGCATTTCCACATGCTTTATCATGTTCCTAACACCTACACGTGCGGTAGACACATAAGCTGGAAGACACAGAAAGGTACCAATATCTCCAGTAGGAGAATTTCACCACCGAATTTTTAAGGACAGATACAAGGCATCCACAGGACAAAACAATAGCTCAAATGAGCTAACACGTTTTGAGACTACTGATCGAATCGACTAACGACAGACAGTTAAAACATCTGGAAAAACGGACATATAGGCCAAGCTACATGGATGACTGTTTCAAATAGTTTGCTTTGAATAATATTCAGGGTGAACTCCTCTTAGCAGCTCAGAGATGTACTTGTAATAATAACAGGAAAAGATGCTATTAAAGAGCTGCCACAACTGACTTGGAAGCTGCCTCAGTATTCGGATCAAACGGGGAACAAGGAAAAGCTAACCAGGAATAATGCCACCGAGAGCAAACTGATCTAGTCTCACCCCAGGTGTTATGAGGACTGACTTTGTGTCTGCTAGCAGACCCCCCCTGGAAGGGGTTGCTGGAGGGAGACACATAAATTCCAGGTGAAGCTAACGTGTGTCCGACAAGGCATATCACACACCAGAAAGCATGACAGCATAGGAAGTATTCAGGAAACAGTACACCCATCTCTACCAAATTATGCAGTTCAACAGTTCCTCCACTTCAATAATAATGTCTTTCAATAAAGACTTGGGTTACCTCGGTACTTGCTGAACTCATAGCAGACATACAATCCCTGTCTGTGTATGATTGTGGCACACGAGAAAACAGGTTACATGTTGATGAGAGAAAGACAACTTGTTTAAATGATTTAATATAGGATAGATTTTTGCCTTTTGTAGTAGTGAAGCCTTAGCTGCTTATTAAAGGTTGATCTATGTTTCATAAAATCTTGTTTATCATGATTTAATTAAACAGACTCAGATGGTAAGTAGATTTTCTGACAGAGTTAGAAATGAACAACATAAAAATGCCTCTGACCAAAACTTAACTGTGTATTCTCACGGGTGACTAGAAATTTCCTGTTAAAGATTTCTAATATCTAGTTCCAAACCCATCTTCAGATTCAGACCCACCCATAAAAAAACAGATAAAGACATATAGTAACAATGAGGAATAATAATTCTTAAACTACTTTCTTAATACAATGAAGCACAAAGAACAATTTAAATAGCCTTAAGAACGGCTCCTAAACGCGCACATAAATACAGGGAGACCTATATTAAACCACAAGTTATCAAACTTACTGCATTATGGAAACTGTTCTTAATAAAGACAGTAGGTCTATTTTTTTAATGAGACAGGATCAAGCCTCCAGTACAGTGATAGGGTAGCCTCTGATGGATATAATCCCGCTTTAAAAGTTCTTAAGTCAATTCAGACAATACATATGCAAGTCCCAATGACAGCATGACTAGAAGTAGTGACATTACACACATCGGGACTATGTTTAGAAAACGGAAAGGGAAGTGATGGCATATCTTTAAAATTATATATACATATAGGAAGATGTGGAGGAATTGCTAAGAACACATCCTTTTAACTGCAGATAGCAGTAGCAGATAGACTATGTGCCCTTAATATATTGCATCTTTCAAATTAGTATAAAGAAGATAATTAATGTACTGAGTTCATATATGGATGATGGAACAAGTTTTCAATAGTTAATTGGAAAGGGATTTCGTTTTTCAGTAAGACAAAAAAGGGGGGCAAATGATCCTAGACGAGGAAACGCCTTAATAACTTAGTTATTTATTCCTAGAAGTAACAGCTCAGAACTACTACGGCTATCAACCAATAGTAAATTAATTTTCTTCATAAAGTTACAGTTTCCTCTTATCCTAAATTGTTTATTTGTGACATGCTCCTAGTGAAGTAAAGTAATTTTATAGGAGATTGTTACAAACTTATTCACTACCACCATCCATTGTATTTTGGTGGCGACTCTGATAAATGAAATATGTCTCACTGTTAATTTTTTTTCTTTTTTTACACTTGGTTTCTTTAGGAAATGAAACTGGTGGTACTGAACAACTTGTCGGCCCTTCCTGACAAGTTGACTTGTCTGGGAATGACTGTAGAACCGTGACAGCTAGACAGCTAAAGCAACTCAGACACATATACCCATCAAGAAAAACGCAGCCGCACAAGTTCAGCACTTACCATTTGATCTTTTAGCTAGTCAGTCAGCATATATGTGCAGATTAAAATAAGCACATATCTAGGCCCAAATGAGCTACAGCAGGTGCTGTCTCCTGCCCAACCAGCTGTTAGGGGATATGAGGGAAGATTAAAAATGATACATGGTCCCTGGAGGATTTGAAATGGGGAAAGGAGAATAATGGGAGAGACCGGAGGGGGCACTGATAGGGAAAAGTGAAGCAGCAGGTAGGAAAGACATATTCGTAACCTTTCTTCTCCTATAGTGAATGGAATAGCATGTGTCCCCCATTAATAGTAATGCAAGCATTCAGACAAAATGCAGACTATCATATTTATTAAATTCATCAATACAGGAATTCTTCATCTTCAGGGTAATCAGTCTGGCACCTTTCACAAGAATTTAATCTGTTTAATATAAATATATCAATTTTCCATTAATACTACATATCAGCTTTCAGTATAATTTTTCACATTGGATAACACTTCACTTCTCAGCTATCCCTCCCTGACATAAGAAAGTTGAGTGGTTAGTGAACTGGCCATGGATTTAGGAGACCAGACTGATACCCTGGTTTGCTACAGACTATGTGCGACCTTAGTCAATTTATTTAATCTCTCCCTATCTTAAAAGCATGGTGAAAGGAGAACTGCTTTTAAGAGTGTGAGGATTTTGAATGTGATCAAATGAAGCACTCCGTAGTTCATAAGAGGCAGATAGATAAATACTTGAAATAAACGAGACGACTCAGCAACAAAATATACAACCCAAAATAAGAATAGGATCAGGGTCTCTGTAACGATTTTATTAACTATTCTGCCTAAACCCAAGTTTTGGATGAGAACCAATGAAGAAATCTAACCTTCTAGTGTGAATAGGAAATATAATTAAATTTAGTATTTGAGATAAAAATATAATAATACTAAGATAATATTTGAATATTGTCTTAATATTTAAATATTAAATATTAAGCATTAAATATTTAAAACCATTCTAATGACATGTATTTTCTACTTAGCCTGTTGGATTTTTTTTTGTAAGGCAATACAATAGATTATATGTCAGTGAACATTGTACAAAAAAGTTGGATGTGTCTGTCATCAGAAATGGTTGCATTGACTTTATTGAGCAATTCAAGATCGATGTGCTCTATTTGAAAATTAACACATCTAAAAATTAACATAGAGGTTTTTTTCTATCTAAACTAAAATACTCATATATGGAAAAAACAACATGACGATATAAAAGTTATTCAATGCCTTTTGAGATAAGACATTAAATTTTCATTTGTATTAAACCTACCCTTTATCCTACAATGAAAGTTACACGGCTGTGTCCTAATTCCTCATTAGGTCTCGCCGAATCAACCATCAGGCTGCCTTTCCCCACTGTTTAATAATGTAGAACAAGCCAACTGGCAAAGCGGTCCCTGAAGACAAAACAAAAACCATACAGCAAGAATACTATGTTCACTGTCTTTTCAAATCACTGAAATAGCATAAATGCAGACACTGAAGCTTTTCTCCAATTTAGTGAGGAAATTCAGTTTAACATTGTGTCCCCAGTTTAGCGCAATGTTTCAACTGAGTTCTTACTGTTAAGTCAATTGTTAAGCCCCTGGCCAAAACAGCATTCAAGTTACAATGCAATTTCAGTATATGCCTAAATGTTTTGATTCAGCAGGGGCATAGCTTTCTAATATCTACACTTCCTTATTAAAACTGTGAATTTCCCTATTATTTCTATGTTTTAGGAAATCAACAAAACTTGAAAAATTACTCATTTAGTAACCATCTTCTGCATTAGCTACACAGCATGTAAATCATTTTCATCAAAATGTTGAGTCACACTTGGTAGCAGATTACTTCAATGAAAGGAGACTTTTATTTAACAGACAAATAGCGAATGAAAAGAAGTAGGTGTAATAGTAGAGCATGGAAAAAAAAGATAAAGTCTGAAAAAAATAGCTGCTAACTTTACAGGGCAGGAGTTTGAGAAAAACAACACTTCAATCAGAAAGGTCTGACTGCCTTCCTTAACATTCAGCAGTAGACCTGTGATTTACCCATGTAGGAGTAAAAATAGGAGTTAAAGACCTAATGGCATGGGCTTTAAGAGTTTACTGCAGACCTCGTAACAACTGAAAAAGCATGAGGAATCATGTGAAATACTAACTGTGCATACACAGCTTTAGTGAGTTGACAAGAAAAGATTCTCATTCTGTTTTTTGCCATAACCCCAAAATTCACTTTGTCCCTGGTTTGTATTAACCTGAAACAGTAACATTTGAGGCTGAGGATTTCCAGAGCGATAAAGTACTCTGAAGTTGTAAAGAGGTGACAGAGACATGATAAATTTCAAATGGAAGAATTTATCTGGAATAGAAAATAAGCTGTACGCCCTTATTTCCTATGTTAGTTCACCTTTCGCACTACCTATCATTGTCTGATTTATCTAACGAGCTCAGATAAGCAGCACAGTTTATAATGTAAGTCATACCTCCAAAAGTTTTTGCGGTGCTCTGGAATCGGCCCAGTGTGTACTTTCTCATCTAAAAAGCGAAAAAAAAAGAAAGAAAAATAGTGAGTGGCCATTTACATTAAAGAGGTTTTAGGACTTTTAAAATGCTGAAAAACGTTCACTCTGTGTAAAAAACTATTTTGTGATTCAAAATAGTTTTAAAAATTTAGCTCCAAAAGCCAACAGCTAACAATGCCACTGTCTGCTAAGTAAATTCTTGTGAAAATCCTATGCTCTACCATGAAGACACTTATTCCTAGGTAAAAGAAAATTTAAGTGGAGAGGGAAAGCAGCAATTGCAGGAGACAGGGTGCACTAATGAACCTGTTGCTAACACGTTCTTAACAGAGTGGTTCTTAACATGCAGTTAAGCTGTGGACCTCCTTTCCATGGCATACTGCAAATACAAGAAGTTTACATGGGTTCAAAGAGAGACTTGACAACTTAATGGAAGAGAAATCCATTAAAGTTTACTGAATGAATAGAAGCCACCTCTGCTTCAGCCTTGAGCTGCAAATGATTAAAGCCTTGGACTTGGAGAGTATCAATCTGCCCTGTTCTTTTTCCCAATGTATCTGCTTTCAGCTGCTGTCTTATTTTTTACGGATCATCCTTTTCTATCAAAAAACACATTTCCATTTTCTAAGCACAAGAAACAAGCATAAAAAAATGGCTGTTTGCCTTCTCCAGGTGTGTCCTAGCATACGTCTGCAGAACGCTTCAGGAATATAACCTCTTGTGTAAGCATAAATCTAATGTTTAGGAAGTAATTCCTATAATAACTGCATCAATAATCTGCTCAAATAATCTTGCTTATCTGATCAATAAGTTGCTCAAAGGATGCGACTTTGTTTCTTCCACAGATACTGGTCTATTGAGAGAGCTCAGCTCTTTAGCCTGCTGCCCTGCCTCAGACTGATGTCTTGTTTGTTTGTTTGTTTCAGTTCTTCCTGATCTTTTTCTTATTTTCATACTTTGAATCATACGAAAAATGTATGTGCCTATGTCAATGATGATCCTAGCACAGTGGCAAAGGTACTAGAAAGCAGGTCCTCGCCAGAGCTGGCTACTGAGTGATCCATTCATCAGTCAGTCCAACGGCATCCAAAGCAGCAAGATCACGTTAGTCGTCCCCCTTACTCCATCCCCTCCTTTGTATCAGCAGCAACAGCCAGGTAGATAAAACTGTTACAGTTCTGAACCTAGATGGAAGAAACAGACCACAAAACTGCTCCAAATTACGTCTGCATCACTTAATAGTGATGTTAGCTGTTCCACAGGTAACTTCAGTCTGTACTGACTTGCTCTGTCCTTCATCCTGTTGCCCTTGTGGTTTGCAGCCAGAAACCCACCGCAAGCCACCGGCTGGCCGTCCCTCAACCTGGGAGCCAGAGCACAGCGGCAGCAGTGAGCACCAAGCCCTGTCTGCCAGCACAAGCCTCTGTCATCTCAAAACAAAAAAGGCCTGAAAGAGCTTCAAGGCTTGAGACAAGTTCTTAGTGATGATGTCTATTTTAATAACTCCTTGAGAACTTACTTAGATATTAGCCAGATGAAACCATAGCATGCAGTCAGGGTTGAAACAGCCAAGATAAAATCAGCCTGCATAAAATCTTAAAGGGCACAGAAAGAGCTCTAAGGGCTCTGGCAAAGGAAGGAAAATTCACCTGGCTGTTTAATGTTTATTAGCCAACCAGATATTATTTCTGACTCATTTAAAGCTACTACCAGAGAAAGAGAAGAGGAAAATCCACAACCGTCACTGAAGTGACACAGCAGTAACAAACATCAGTGCTCTACGTGGAAAACAAAGTATAATATTTGTCATAGTTAAATCTTATAAAAAGCCTGTCAGCTGAAAACATATGTTCTATTTCAAAGGGTTTCCCTGAGAGCTAGGTGAGTAAACAAAATGAACGCGAGTTCCCGCCTAGACAACATCTGTTCCTTCATTTTGACCCATTTCCTCTCTTCTTCCCCACGAAGCTCGTCAGCACCTGGCCTCCAGGCAGCCGTGCGCACTTCCCCTCACCCCGAGTACACAGCACATATCACTCTCTCATCCTACCAGCTCTGAGTCTACCCACCTGCAGACTTTTTTTTTTTCTGTCCCGCCTTAAATCATGGCTGGGTACAGTGAAAGGACAACGGCCTCCAAGCATTATGAGACTGAATTTCATGTGAAAAATGTGTGATTAACTGGCTCAGCCGTGAGTTCTTGAAACTCTGAGAAACAGAAAAAGACACCACACATCCTCCTCTTTCTGTCCTTTAAAACATAGCCTAACGCATCTTATGACATTGGCTTTCTAAAATGCATCCAAAAGACATCTAATCAAAAATGTCTCCCCCACCCCTTTATAATCACTATGATCACTACATGAGCAGCATACACAAGGTGATCCAGAATATTTCTGGTGCTAAAGTGCTGAAACCATTCCTGTGAAATACTAACACAGAAAGACCAGCAATTACAATACCTACAGTATTTGTTTCTGAGGTGTGTCATTTAACAGCATAAAAAGCCCTTCCTTGCTGAAAAAAGCTGTTCAAATCCTCACCACAAAGCGCAATACCTCCAACTTTAACTATGCTTCACTGAAGGACTAAATACATGCTAAAGAGTTAAGAATATGTACAGATTTATTAAACATTATCATCAGAACGAGAAACGGCGAGTCAAGTGCAGATGACAGAAATACAGTTAGTTAGCTCAGCCTAATAGGCCTAAATCCTTAGTATTTTTCATTACGGCTTATGCACCTTATGAATAATGAAATTTCACGTCACTAGAAACCCCACTAGACTCTCTTCAATCATCCTTTTGCCACCACAAGAGCTTGGGAGCACACCTGAAAGAGACGGCCAAGCAAGCTAGCATGGAATTTAGGTTAAATCCTTTGTTTCCAGCCACAAGGAAGGTCAAAATTTCTCAACAGAGAGAGCATGATGTGCTTCCACTGTACCAGCAAACCCTTGTCTTTGGGGACCTGGAAACAAGTTCTGGAGGAAGCCCCATTTCCCATGTGGGAAGTGGATCAGAGGCGGGCTGTGAGTGCTTTCTACTGCCTGTCTGGGATATGGTTCTTTTTTTTTTGGTGCAGATTGGTAAAGTCAGAACAAAAAGAAAAAAAAGCTTTCTGGAAGTTAAAAATTTTGCCTGTGGAGTCTTTTGGATTGCCTATTCCAGATAGGAGTGTCATGGCCTGGGCTCATTTTAAATCCACAATGTAAACAGTCAGGGCTTGATCCCTTTCATATTGTTTGTGTCCTGTCTGAACATAATCAATAAGTAGCAGATATAATAAAAATAAAATACAGACATTGAAATTCAAGTGAACTATCCCAAAAATTCATGTGAATGGCACTGAACTCAGATCCCCTGAGAGCCAGGCCCTAACTCTGAATTTTATCTGAATCTATATAAGCCTCCACATCATAAACCAGATTGTAATCATCTTTCACACACTTCTTTAGAGTATGTAAGTATTTGCAAGCAAGAGGCTTTACCTTAGAGCTGTTTGATAAAGATTACAATTCATAACAATTCCAGATGCAAAAGATAAGCAGTTAGTTAGGTCGTTGCTAAGATCACAGCTGTGATGCTGAGTTAGCATACTTGGAAGCCGTCCATGCTCACATGGATCTGATGTTGGGGTGGGAACTTTTGCCAACAGAGCAAATAATTATCAGTGGCAGCAACAAAAAAGCTGTTTTAACTTGGAAGCGTTCTGCGGATGAATCTCCACATGAGCTGCCTGGGTACATCTAGAAGAGCAGTATCCTCTGGGGATGCTGTCTGTGACACAGGAAAATCCAAACTTATTGCTGAAAGCGCCCACTAAGTTGAACCAAACTGAAACAGCCAAAATGAACGCTACCTAGGAACCATTAGCAAGATGATGATGAAGAAGGTGTTGCCCTAAAACACACAGCTATGGCCAGGGACAGCTCTGCTTATTTTCTTAATTTTCTTCCTTTCTGACCATTTCCTTGACTAGGCCCCATTCAACCACACCCTACTCCATTTCTACAGGATGGTACCATATGGGTTTTCCGGAATAAGCAGTTTTCCAGCTTATTTTTCCATCTCCAAGAAAATAGGCCTGTCCTTTCAAAATATAATCAGCAGAGCAGCAATTCCTACTGCCCCTTCCTGCACTTATTCACAGGGGTGTTAGGAGAAGGTCTGACTATTTTCCAAAGGGTTTAGACACCAGCAATACTTCCTAAACCATTATGATACAGAGAACAGAATCACTCTCCAAATAAAACTATTCCAAGTATAAAACATTGGTGCCTAAGGGCTGGCTGTCATGCTATTTTGTTCCGTGCAAACTGCAGGCTTTACTGTCTACCCAGAGCACCAGAGCGCAGCAGCTCCGATCTTTCTTCTCTGATCCCCAAGTCTTCTTAAAACAAACTAATCAAAGGACCCCTGCTACCTCAGACAAAGAAGAAAAATAGGAAAAGACTGTTGAAAATGCAAAAGAGCCAGGAGTCCCATTGCAGTGGTAAAAAAGCAGTTATTAACCAATGTCACCTCATCGTATTAAGAAAATAATAGTTCCCCTTAGTTTTGCCAAGATGATGTTATGATTATAATGATTCACTTAATATTTAGAATATCTCTCTGTTCTGCAGGAGAGGGAACCCTGAGAGAGAGCTTGCTGAACTCATGGCAGAGATTGTAGGACTTCGATCCCATGATGGCAGGGAGCTAGACTTGAAGACCTGTATTCCTGCAGCATTGTCAGGCCCAGAGAAACAATGTTTATATTGCTATCCTTACAGCTATTTTGTTATCTCTTCCCTCAGGAAAAGCTGCTCGTTTTAAAAAACTAACTATTATCTGTATATACAAAATAATGTGGGCCTTTCCCCTCCTGTTACTGAATTCTCGAAAAAAAAAAAAAAAAGATATTCAAGCCACATTCCAACCCACCCAGGAATTACAACTACTTAAAGGGTCTGAAAAAAATGAAAGATGAACAACATGTTTCTTAGATGTAATAATGTATGCCCATATGG